TCCTGCCTTCTCACTAGCCCCATTTCAATTGTTTTTGAGACAGTGGCTTGCTAAATTACTCTTTGCCCAAGCTAGGCTTGAACTTGTAGTCCTCCTGCTTCAGCCTTCCAAGAGTGCTAGGTAGGATTCCAGCGTCGGTTTATAAGTCAGGCTAGTAGCATCGATTTTTAAAAATTAATTAAGCTTTTAATCCACAGAAGTTCGTATTCTCATGTATGCGGAGCACTCTCTGTGTAGTAGCTCCTCGGGTCTCCCAGAAATCCTTAGGAACTGGCATCCTCCCCAAATAACAGATGGGGAAAGTAAGGCTTGGAAGGTTAGAAAACAAGATTCTAATCCACATCCACTTGACTTCTGCTTGACTGTGCTCTTAGCCACATGTTGTAAAAATAACAAACGATAATCTTGAGGTGGTGTGCCAAGCAGTCAATTTGCTTCCCAAGAACCTTTTGCTCTGGCCCTCTGTAATGATAAGAAGTCACCACCGCCCCACATCCATGTCCTGCTGTGGGCAGCTGGAGGTGGAGAGCCGTCCTGTATCCATTTCTTCGTTGTCTTCAGCTCAGCAATCCTTCCTGTTACCGACACTAGGTACCCTGGGGTACAGAAAGGAAAACAGACTTCCTAGAGATGAGGATCACTGGTTCAGTCCTGAGGACAAAGATCTGGATCTGAACCCAGAGAGCAGCAGGAAGTGGCTGGGTATCGTCAGTGTATCAGAACAGTACTGTATTGGTTCCATTCAGTGCCAAGCCTTGTGCTGTGTGCCCTGGACACCTCAGCCTCCCAGACGGTTGAGATTACAGGCCTGTGGGGTACCATGGGCCCAGCTAAGCCTGTGCTTTTCACCTGTCAACCTGAGCCTCTGCTTTCCTCTGATATTGTAAATTCTCAGCTGCCATAGATTTCCACCCCCAGGAAGCTGCATGATTAGATGAGTACCATCGCTCTGAACTTCAAACACAGTCAGATGGTTTCCATGCTAACCTAGCCCGTCAATGAGTCACCTGATAGTAGGAGTACGCATCCTGGAGCATCACCTTGTGGATACCCCAAGACCACACCACCCCCCAACTCCTGGTCATCGTTTTCACCTCTCTCGTACTCCCTTCCTGCCTCATAAACCTACATATGCCCCTCCTCGTGCACCCTGACATGCTCTTCCTGGGCAAATCAAGAGCCGACTGCATGGGTGGGAGGGTTGAGCTTCATCTCCTCTTGGACAGGACCCTGTCTCAGGATGTTTGCATCCCACAAGAGATCAATTTCCAAATAGAGACACAGGCTGCAGCAAAGCTTCCCCTCAACTAGGAAATCAGGAGGCCCCAGAGAGCTGAACTAGTAAAATGACTCTCAGCTGAGCCTGGCATGCCTGGAATTCCAGCACTTGGGAAGCTGAGGCTAAAAGAAGTCTGTGAGTTTGAGGCCAGCCTGGGAGACGTAGTGAGACACTGCTCACCCCCTGCTCACCCCAAAGGATCTCACCCTCACTGGTTCCTGGACCAGATAAACAGTTTCCAACAACTTTCAAAGCCTGGCCCGCAGCGGGTGAGCCACACCAGGAGCTCTTCCTGTAGTCTGGTGCTTTCTTATCAGTGACGCTGGACAGTATACCCTTCACTCTTCCTGGGTTCTGATCAAAGATGGCACAAAAAGAAAGCCTCTTCGTCCCTGAGAAATGCCCTCCATCACTGTGGACAACAAGGGGAAGTGATTTTTATTTTATTTTATTTTTTAACTTTTGTGTGTTTTTGTTCTTTTTTTCCCCCTAATACTGGGGATTGAACCCAGGGCCTTCACATTGAACCATATACCCAAACTTTTTAAAAAAAAATCCTTTATTTTGAGATAGAGCATTACTAAATTGCCCAGGCCAAGCTCAAACTTGCAATCCCTGAATGCTAGTGCTGGGATTGCAGGTGAGTGCCACCACACCTGGCTAGAAAGGGGAAGTTTATTATTATTATTATTAGTGAAACAGGGGATTGAACTCAGGCCCTTGTGTTTGCCAGGGAAGTGCTTATTCCACTGAGCCATCTCCCTGGCCCCGGAAGTTTATTATTGAATAACTATTAAGCTGCTTCCACAGCACACAGCACATCTAATGTACTAATGGGATCTCAAAGGGGATGTCTTTCCCATGTGGCCTGCAACTATGCCTGCTTTTAAGATTTATAGTAACTCACCCTCAGGTAAGAGGTTTGACCCCTCTCTTTTGCCGTACAGTCTTTTCTAGTTTAGCCTCTACTCCTAATAAGAGGGATACCCACTGTGCTGGCCAATTCCCTGGGCCTGGAAGAATAATAAAACTTCTCAAATTTTTGTGAGCAGGTGGCTATGGCTTGGGACAAAGAGCAGGGCTAAACCCTCACAGTGACAGGGATATAGGGACCTCAGCTTGCTTGATATTTACATTTCAAAGAAAGGGATGCCAGGCCCTTTAGAATAACATTCTTGGGTCCCCGGCCCAGGCCAGAAGCTTATTTAGCCTTTGAAAACATTGGCACAATGTAGCAGAGACATAAATGTAGAGTTGCTTGAACGCTGAAAGGAACGCGCTGGCAGGTTCTATGATATGAATAAATCTTGAGAGTTTATGCTGGTGACAGAAGCCAGACACAAAAAGGCAGTGTGTGAGAGTCCCACTTAAAGGAGCCAGCTGGGATAGGCAAATGCAAGGGGCCAGCCTGTCAGCTCGTGGTGATTAGCGGGTGCTACCTGCTTAATGGGCGTAGACTTTCAATTCTGGGTGATGAAAATTTCTGGGAATGGTGGCGACGGTCACACCCACTACTCTGCAAATGTCCTTAATGGTATTGCAGTGTTCACTTAAGAGTGGTTAAGCTAGGAGTTTCTGTTCCACCTATGTTACCATAAGAAAGAAAAAAAAAAAAACATGGACAGAATTTGTGCATAAGTCCATACACAAGGGAAATGCTTTTGTAGTGCTTGCCTAGCACATGTAAGGCCCTGGGCTTGGTCACTAGCAGCACACAGAACAGGAAAGGGCAGGACAGGACCAGAAAAGGAAAAACAGAAAATGCTTTTTAGCCCTATGATATTCTCTTGCTGTACCACTCTTCCCTGACTGTGTTCTGAGATATGGTCCTTACCCGTAAAAGCACCCAACACAAGGTCAGATCCTCAAGGGGTGTGCGTGGGCTCCCCGCCCTGGCCTTCCTGTTGGTTCTCTCTGCTTTGCTGCAGCGAGCCCATGCATGCGCTTGCTTGGACCACAGGTGTCACTGTGGTTATCTTGGGCCAGCTCATTAAAGAGGTCATTTCAACCTGCCTCAGAATCCTCAAGAAGATCTCTTATACTCACTGTAAACACAGACAGCACTGGGTCTGTGCGCTCTGCCTTTGGGGGATCCAACCAACCACCCACCCATCCTGTGGAGATCCAAACTATATTTTAAAAGCTTATGTTTGTATTGAACATGTGCAGATTTTTCTAGTCAACAGCCCCAAATCAATATAATATGACAGCTATTTATGTAGCATTTGCCTTATAGTAGGTTTTTTTTTTTTATATAGTAAGTGTTATAAGGACCCTAAAGATGATTTAAACTATATGGAGGATGTCAATAGGTTACATGCAGATACTATACTGTTTTATAAAAAAGATTCTGAGCGTTTCTAAACCAGGCGTTTTGTCCACCATAACAAACAAGTTTTGCAAAAGAAAAAGAGTTTATTCACAAGGCCATCACACACAGAGATGGGTGACCAAGATCAACTCCACCTCCCAGAGGATGGGGCTTGCAGATAACTGGGAGATAAAGGGGGCCGGTGATTTAAGGCATGGGGACAGTGGTTAGGAAAGACCTGATCTCTGCTCTATGGCTACATAACCAATCTCCATGATGCCTTGTGGGACGCTGGCTCAGCAAATGAGGGTCTTACTGTAACCTGAGGGTGGAGTTCCAGGCCTCTTGATATCAAAAGGTCATCCTTGGAACACCTGCAAATCCAAGTGAAGTTGGTGCGTTGGACAAAAGCAGCCTTCAGGTCCCTGAAAAGTAACCTAGGCAACCGCTGTTATCATCCTGACCCACTCAGCAGAGGTGTTATCTGCAGCAGAGCCTGTGGGAGACTAATAATATATTGCTCAGCCCTGTGACCTTCAAGATGAGTGATTTTTGAAGTTGACAAAAAGCACATAACCAGAAGCAAGCAAAGCTCGAGGTTTTATGCAGCACATGTGCTGTCAGGAACAGCTGCGAATTTTACTATGGCATTGCGGGTCTCGTGGGTACCGAGGGAGAACCTCGCGCACAGCCTGTCTTTCCTGATCCACCTTTCCTCCATCCCAGTCGCTTTTCCTGGAGGACTTGCCGGGCTGCTCCCACTCAGCCCCTGCTTTTCCACTCATCCACAGAAACGCAGGCCTGCTGCCCGAAGACCAAGCAAGCATCTTCTGTCCGGCGCTGTCAGCGAGCCCCTGCTTCCCCTCCCAATCATGTCCCCAAATCATAACAACGCATGCCGTGCAGTGACTGCCGCCTTTGCCCCCTGCGCAGGCAGATCTAGGTTGCAAGTGGCCTGGAGCTTGTGCTGTCTAGAGGTCCCACGCTAGAAGAGGAATA